CCAAACAGCAAAAAATTAAGACCCCAAAGGGTGACACGGTCCCTATAATACGATTTGCATTAAGTGCCCCCCCCCCCCTTCCCCGGATGTCATAGGCATGAACATCTATGTGACATGCCACTCACTACTTATCCAGGAATGTCTGATGGTGTACATGTCAGTTCAGTAAAATTTGAGATGGTTAACTACAAACAAATTTATTCAGGACAAACAGAAAAGTTATCTAAGAGATATTGTTGTGGATGATGCCTAAAATGTGGTTGAGTTATTGTAAAATTAACTTTTATACCAAGTCAGAAACATAGTAGAATTATCGGTGTTCTCTTTTATGATTGTTCAGATTACGAGAAAATTTCGAGATGAGAAAAGGCCGCGATTTGGATTGCTAAGAGGTAGAGAGTTTTACATGAAAGGTGAGTGCTGTTCGTCAAATGTAGTTGTTTGTCCATCTCATCATAAAAAATACTGTAAACCGCTTTACTTTCTGTTGCTCAAAGTTTTACGAAAAGTAACAGACTTGCAAAATTTAAGTGGTTTACAGTAGATTGTAATGTCTAAATTTTGAAATGTCTTCAACTCTCATGGTATCTACACTGAATGAGAAAATGAAAAGACATTGCACATACACTTTGTAACTAAAATGTACAGATAATTTGTTTTGTATGTTTTATAAATATAGCATTTCAGTCGGTGTGTAGAGTGTATTTTATATGTGTTGTATACATCAGGTAGGACTCGCATCAAACATGGCACCTTACGATGACCTCCACCCTAAAACTGATTATATGTTGTTGTTTATTTATCTGTCACAGACATGTATACGTTTGACGCCAACACAGAAAATGCCATTAAGACGTACGAAGCAGTCAACCAAGCGTATTGTAGGCTGTTTAACCGACTCCAATTACATTTTGTCAAAGGTATTCTCAATTACAAATATTAATCCTTATTTCTTACTCTTAGCATCGTGATGCCATTATGCATTTCCTGAGGACAAGTGTTATTTGTTTAAATTTCTCTTGTCTGAAATGTTTATCACATGGTACATGCATGAAATTACTATGTATTACGTAAATTATAATTACAGTGAATAACACTGAGTTTTTGTCATTGAGATTACATTTGTTTCAAAATATTGTCGATTACCTGCAGACTTTTTCTACAGTCCGACATGTTCACACATAGAAATTAATTAAAAGTCTGCAGGTACTCAACAATATTTTGAAACAAAGAGGTAATCAGTTGTTCTAATTTTACAACATCCAGAGCAATCTCATTGACAAAATCTCAGTGGTATTCCCTGTCATTATTAATAGGACATTTGATTCAGACAATTGCAATCATCTAACTGTTAAGGAATTGAAATAATTCAGCAAGAGTTTTGTTTAGGAAATAAATATTGTTGGGATTCACTACAAATCACTGAAGAACCACAGTGAAGCATTGTAGATGGAGTTAGAACATTTGAACAGTCTGTTTCACACGCATTTTATGGTTACATCAGTTCCATCTTTAGCTCCGCTGTCGACTTTGTCGAGCGGAGCTTATCATATGAGTGATTGTCCGTCGTCGTCGTCGTCTGTGTCAATGTTTTACTTTTTTGACTTCTTCTTGAAAACTACAAGCCTGAATACTTTGATACTTGGGGTAGACCTCTCTTAGGTTTGTTCATTTCATGATGATATCTTCAATTCTTTAATTTTGGTGAATATTTTTGTCATTTTTGGTGAAAAGTGATATTTTCCACTTCTTGTTGAAAACAGCAAGTCCCATTGCTCTGATATTGCATATACCCCCCCCCCCTACATGTGGACCTCTTTCAGATTTGATAATTTCGTAGTGATATCTTCAATTATCTAATTTTGATAATTATTTTTGGTGAAAAGTGTTGCTTTGATACTATACATATTGTTCATTTTCTAATGATATATTTATTTGAAATGTGCATTGCTAACAGTGGAGCTATCTCAGCCAACAGGCTGCTTGTTAGAAATATCTTGTAATCATGGTAAACTTTATTCAAAACAATCTTCCTTTTAATTTGTGTTAAAATTTCAACAATTAATGTGAATGCGAAATGTTTTTAAATTTGTTCATGAAATTGAGGATTTTTCTGAAAATCAGCTGTGTATTCGGCTGTGATGAGACTCTGTGGCATCTGAATCATGTGACAATTGCACTACTCTCACATAATCTGTAAACTTCACTTCTAGAATCTTTTATGATTTTTGAAAATTTTTTTGATGACTTAATGGCGTTCATTTGGCGAGAGTTGTTTTAATTCTGTGTCAGTATATCAGTTGTATCAAGTTCAACTCTGTTTAATTCTTTTGAAGTCCATGCAAACAAAGTCAACTTCTCAAGCAATTTGCTGCCTTCTTCTATCTTGTTCACAGTTTCTGCAGACACTGGTTCTATCGGTGGAAGCATGTCACACGAATACCATTTACCTGCAGACACTGGTGAAGATGAACTGTGGTTTTGTAATCGGTGTGGGTTCGGAGCTAACAAAGAACTAGGCGACATAGGTAGGTAAGCATTAGTTAGGATAGTTACTGATAGTTAGTTAGTAAGTAAGTAGATAGTTAGTTCAAATCCAGGGTGTTGCTGCTCAAAAACATGTTCTATTTTTATGTGAGGGGGAAGTTGTACTCTCCACTTGGATCATGTGAGCACAAGTTTCTGAAAAACAGTGAACCAAAAAAATAGTTCTTTGTTTAAAACAAAGAAACTGGTAAACATGGACTATTTAGAACAAAAAAAAGAGAGCTCTTTCTGAGTAAATGCTGATGAAAGTGTCCTCTACCAGAAATAAATACCAGAGTGTTATAACTACTGCTAGCAGTCAGTAGTGTTTATTATTTATTTTATTTTATTTCAGACTAATAAGTCCATATCCACACACACACAAAAAAAAAAATAATAAAAATAATAGTAAATAAATACTAGAAAGAACAACAAACAAAAACAGGAAATGATAGTTTGCTTGCTATTACATAATTGCACATAGCATCTCAGTTCAGCATTTCATTCCAACGTTGCAACAAGGCTGACTTCCATCTCAAATCACTGTTCCATAAACTAGTTAATATACTGTTGTTGGACGAGCATGCACGCTCTCTAAATTCATATACTATATTCCTGTAAGTTTCATAAAATGATTTGACACGGTTAGCAACAAACATGGATCTGGCACTGTGGTCATATGGATAGTCAAAAAGTCTACGGAATAGGTTGTTATAAGAAACCTTCAAAGAATTAAGGGTCGCTTTGTTAAAAAAGCACCACAACTGTGAACAATAAATATTATAACAATACGTTTTGAACAAGATACATTTAACATCATAGCTGCATTTAACGAATTTCCTAAGAAGTAAGTTTGCTCTCACACAAAACAAGCGACGTTGGTGGTCAATGTCTGCATTATCCTTCATGTCACACGTGACCCTATGACCCAGATACGTAATCTGCGAGACAAATTCTATGTTCTGGCCCATCAGTCTAATCTGTGGCAGAATGTTCAGTTTAAGCTTGGATGGAAAGTACATACACTTCGTTTTCAACACGTTATACCTGTAGACCACATGAACACACTGAACATGGAATAACATGGTCTTTCTTTCTGTCTAAAGATATTGAACACTGCTCTCATTGTGGAACAACTAACAGTTTGGAAAGTAGACAGGGTATCGAAGTTGGACATGCATTTTATCTTGGGACAAAATATTCAAAGGTGTTCAATGCTGATTACAGTGATTCCAATAATCAAACCAGGTAAAACCAACAAGTGTTCACATTTTCATATGCATTTCTTTCAATCTGGTTAATAATATTATAGTGGAAACAGAGCCAGCACCAAAAGTTCCTGAAAATATTATTTTGATTTGTATTATGGTAAGAAATCTGATTAAAATCTGGTGTAGTTATACGCCCCAATTTACTTTTTATAATTTTAAATTTTATATAATACCAGTATAGTTATTCTTGTCTATTTTTAGCCCCGCTGTCATCGAATATGACCGAGTGGAGCTCATGGGTTGACCTCACCTGTCGTCGTCCGTCAACTTTTTTCGTTCAAACGACCGTCAGCTGGATTGCCTTGCTATTCATACCATACCTAACTGGGATTTGTTCATTTCATGACATCACATCTATTTTTTGGGGAATATTTTTGTCATTTGTCAGATTGCTTTGAAATTTGGCATGAATGTTGTTGACATAGATTATACTTGAACTTTTCATGGCACCATATGCAAGTGTCTATTTTTAGTGCATTTTTTGTGTGCTCATTTTGCACATTTTCGACTTCTTCTCCAAAACCGCCTCCCTACAATGTTCAAGGCCGGGTCAGGGTCATCTCAAGGCCTCAGGTCAGGGCCATCTGAAGGTCCCGTGTTGATTGCATGTGTATTGGAGATCAGGAGGTCACCCCTGTCAAGAGCTTTCAAGGAAAGGTCAAGGTCATCTCAAGATCGCATGTCACTTTCTCATATTGTCTATCTTTGTCATTCTCAATTCAGTCTTCAGTAACTTCATGTTTCATCTTCAATTCCCATCATCAATTATACATATATCATATCATGGGATATGGGATATGCCCTTCCAGTGACCATTGCCACAGTTACTAAACTGTCATAGATTCCACTTCTCCTATCCACCTAGTATATTAAATATGAAATGTAAATTTCTTGTCTCAGGACGACATTTATACAAAATTTTGTTTTTTTCCTGCACCATGCAATGTATTTAGTTCTGCCAAATTTCAGGACTAATTTTGATCAGATTTTTCATGACAGTGTAGCCAATTGTTTTTATTAAATTATTATTGGAAGGTTCACTGCAACTCCGAAAAAGTCATCGGCAACCAATTGATAAATCTTTCCATTTGTAGGACGACTGAGATGGGTTGCTATGGTTTAGGAGTAACTCGTATCCTAGCTGCAGCCATTGAAGTATCATCCACTGATAATGAAATTAGATGGCCTCACCTTTTAGCGCCTTACCAGATTTATATAATTCCATCTAAGGTTAGTCTTAGCATGGAGGTATAAACAGTTTATACCTCCATGATCTTAGTGATGTAATTGTGATTCACCTGACATCCCATCGCAATACGCAAAACTGTCATTTAACCTTTTCACCAGTAGACTTTCTTGCCCAAATTTTTCTGCACTTATTTCTTGTATTCTTCAATATTTCTATAAATGAACCCTAATTTTGGAACCAACAGACCCAATTTGAATCAATTTTCAGTTTTTACTCAAAAAATTTGTCTATTTTTGTTTCAATCTTCTGAAGGAAAGTGCAGACTATAAACGTGACTATTTTTGTGAATTTGTGATGAAAAGAGGAAACTGGTAGTGAAAAGGTTAAGACACCATTCTTATTTGTTTACTTAGTTTGTTATTTTATATGTGATAAGAATAACTTATGTAATGAGGCAGGAATCTACAATAAAAACTGACTAAATTTATTCAGGAAGCAAAGATTTAGATTACTGTAGAATACTTTACTTTAGCTGGAATTAATTTTTGCTAAAAAGACTTTTTGGGTGTTTTGTATAGAATTTATTTTCACTGATTTTTGACGAGTGGAATGTAAATATAGGAAAAAAGGTATATTTGCTGGATTTTATTTTTACTGAATCATTCCTTCAAAGGAATAGTGAAAATTAATTTCGAGTGAAAATAAAAATAAAGTATTTTACAGTACATTGTAGTTTCAATGGAAATTTTGACGTTGGGTGTCAACTGATGATGAATTGAGTGGTGGGTGTGGATGAGGTGAAATAAAATTAATATAAAAAAATTCACAAATTTGAACATTCTGATTTTGCTTTAAAGTTTATTATTAGATATTTATTACATATATTTGATGTATGTGGTAAGTGCAATGTACCAAAAGCAATAATCTTGTATTTGTAATACCAGTATTTCTGGGTCAGGAATTTTTAGAAAACTTCTTAACATTGCCGAGCATTTATGTAAGTTTGTGATGGAGTTTTTAGCATCTTAGTGTATCAACAAGTCCACTGAATCACACGCAAAATACGTGTTAGGCTGAGCATGAAATATTTCATATTTCCTAGGATGATTGTGATGAGCAGGTTTTTAAACTGTTGCATGTGGGATTTTAGGTATTCCATGAAAAGAATAGATGTAAATTGCGAACTTCAGAAACTATTGATTCCAGTTCATGGCCCAAATTAATTTCCATATAAGGCTGTTAGAGGGCGCTGTCGCATGTTTTTTAACATATCAGTACTAGTATTATTCTAATTTGCTTTCAATAGGTACAAGTATATCTTATCAACTTTTCTCTCCTAAAAATTAATTTTGTAAATGTAAATTTCTTTATTTTAGGATGGAAGTAAAGAAGCTGGAGCTCAGCCAATCGCAGTGGGTCTTTATGATCAAATTGTATCACACCTGCCTCATTTGAAACATGAAATTATATTGGATGACAGAAATCACATGACCATTGGTAAAAGGATGAAGGAAGCTAAATCTCTCGGTTATCCTTTTGTAATTGTGATTGGTAAAAAGGTGAGAATCCTAACTGTGTTTAATGTTTCTGTTTTTTTCGAAATTTCGCTGCACTTTATATGTCACAATTTTTTCTTTATTGCGAAATAAAACAAAATCATGCAATTTTGATTCTGTGAATGGTGAGAAAAAGATTTAGCAAAAAAAAAGTAAAAATGGTCACAAAGATAAATTATTTTCACACTTCGAATGCTATTTTTTCCGCCAAAATTCTGATGTATCATATACACATTTTTAGTATTTTTTTTCTATCATTCTTTTGATTTTGAACCATATAGACAGGTGTTTTTCATGGAAATGTGCAATATCAATGAAATGATCATGGCACCAGCAACAGTAAAAACCTTGTTTGTTTTTTTTCCATCAGGCATTGCAACCGGAACCTTTATTTGAACTGTGTAACGTGAATACTGGGGAGACTCGATACTTGAATACATGTGACTTGTTCTGTACATTATCCATGGATGTCAATATTATCTGAAAATCTTATCTTGCGTTAAAATCTTTGCAATCAAAAGGGCGACATGAACTTGTTACTTGAGTGGGCAATGAACGGGACTGTGAATCTCATCCAACACTGTGTGACCTGCATTAAGATAGAAGAATTCCACACTCTGGCGACATTGCGAGTGGAGGAGTGAGTAATGTGTGGTGCATGAGTAGCATTGTAGTGATCGCCTGATCGAATAGCACACCATGACAGGTACACCGTATCGGTGTCCACCACGGCTGTGGACCGACTCAATCGACAGTGCATAGTCATACTGTTACGCCAACAGTGATTTTAATCTGACTGTATGAATAAAAAAACTCACCTGAGAACACACATACTTTCATTTGTTTATGCTGAGGAAATACAACTTACAAGTCACGTCAGCCTTTCGTCGATCACGTTTCGCAAATTGTGTAGTACTACTCACTACAGAACAGAACAAATTCATCTCTCTGTACTCTTAGACATAATGCCACTTAAAGTGTAACTGAATTGGGACAATTGACTTTTTTTGTGTGCAAAATTTATTTATAAACAACATTATGAAAAAAAATCAAGTGAAAAGGGTATATAAATTGGGTAAACAGTCAATGATATTCCGAAATCGCGCCACGCCCCCCTCTCCCATCACCTTCGAGTTTTTTCGGCATTACGAGTGTAACCGAAATGGCGCCACCAACGGGAGCATAAAGCATGAGCTAGCTAGCAGACAGGATTGTTTATCATTTTCCATACGCACGCGTTTCGTAAACATATACAACGAGTTACCAAGATCGAGAATTCTTACGAGTTACCATCATATACAACGAGTTACCACGATCGTTTTCATGGGGAAACGCTGTGTTGTTGGCGGGTGTAGTAACACACACGGCGATCGCGTAAGTCTTTATGGGTTCCCAAAAGACGCCCTAGTTAGCATTACTTCATCGACACTAGTTGGAAGCGCATGTACTAGATGGAACGTTTCGGACGAGCGCGCTTTACCATACAGAGCAGACGACGATTCCCTTACAAAATTGTCTGATTTCGATATTGAAATCCACTATTATTGGCAAAGAACCATTTTATTTGATGTTGATTTTAGTATTAAATACTTTATAACTAATAATTTCTCTTTTTTTAAATAGTTTCTCCTTTATTCATTTTCAAATACAACATTGTATTCATATCCATGGCACAGGGCCTGGCTGGTCAATAATGGAATACATTATTGCGAATAATCTGCTGCAATGACATCATAAAATCCACTGGTATTGATAATGCTATAATATAATGTAACATAATGTTTTTTATGAAATCTTCATGACATGAAAATGGCTGCCTGGTGGCCCTTTTTGGTGGAACACATTTTGGGAATGAGGCCTTATCAGTGGAAATTCTGTTCACTGCCAGATCTCAAGTATTGCACGAAAAGCGTAGCCCAAATGTCTGCTGCAAAAATTGATTTTGAATTTGAACTTCTTCTTTCTTTCTTTTTTTATGTAGTTCAAGGTTGAAATTGACCATCATCAAATGTGTATAGCACATTATTATGTGTGGAAATATCACCAAAATACTTTTGTATTTGTTGAATCCAATATTTGGATTCATGTCATCAACTTTTGTTGTGTCTTACTCTATATAAAATATTTTTCTGAGAAACTTTCTGAAAAGTTGACACTTTGGTGACCTTTTCCCTATGTCAAAGCATTACTTCATAAAATAAATATTACCCGGTAACCATCAACATTTTCTAATACTCCATGACAACCAGGAGTATCCATCTTGTAACTACATATGACTAATTTTCACTGATGGTAACTGAACAATATTTTAGACCTCCCTTTGTACTAATGGTAACGCCATAAAAACACCACCCCATTTATTTTCATTTTTTTGTTTGTTTTTTGAATTGTAAAATTCAAGCAAATCTATTTAGTCGTAGCCAACAGCTACGGAGTCATTAATCCTTTATTATTTTACTGTTAATGCAAGATAAAATAATCACATTTGTAAATTACTGGTATTAAAACGTTTTTTTTTTTTTAAATTCTTCAAATTTTACAATTACAACACTGAGGGCAGCATACATGATATGAATTCACCAACATGTCCAATTTGTACGTCGAGGACTAACGTAATCAATACCACGTTTTAATTTCTTGGATAAAATGCTCGGGGGGGGGGTCACTCTATATGCTGTTACTACCCCATGTGCGTTCCAAATTTAGCGGGAAGGCGGGGTGTTTTTCACCTTCCAGAGCGGGCCCGCGCGGGAGGCAAATGGCCCCCTTTAAAATGCTAGTGTCTGCAATAGGGCCCCAGATATAAACTCGCAGGGTTGCTGTGCCCGCTGTAGGCCCGCTCTTGCAAACAACCACTCTCATACCCCGCCCTATAGGCCCCGACTAGGCCGCAAACGTCCGCCTGAACTTTCCCACTGGGACTTACCGGCCACTTCCAACACAAGCATGCGGAGAAGGCTTATTGTAATCGAAGAAACGAAACGAAACAGGACAACACACATAATAAAAATTGAACTGTATTCAGTGAATATGGGTTTTATATGCTCAATATTTACAAAATATTTGCCGAAAATAATATTTAATTCGTATATGGCTCAATATATGTATGAAATAGGGGGTGTTTTTTCTTCAATATGTCTGCTCTAGAGGGTACTAAGTTTACACTGCGTCCGCAATGGGGGTATGGTTTGCCAATATGCTGCCAGCCCTAGGGGCCTTTTTTTTTTTTTTAGCAAGAACGCACATGGTGTAAGGTTTTAATATAGAGTAACCCCCGGGATAAAATGTCTCTGAATTCTTCTCAAAAAATCAAATCAAAAGATGTCCCTATAAAAATACTTATTCTTGTAGGCGGTAAAAGGTGTTAATTTTTACCTCCAGATTGGACGCGAAAATGTGAATTAATTTATATTCCGTAGAACATGCTTTTAAGGATAAAATTGAAACCCCGTTTTCGAGGTTGTCACCCGAATATGACCACTTGGGGCAAACATTTTGATTTTCCGTCGTGCTAAATTCTGTCGATAGAGGGCGCTACTCGCTTGAGTATGTAAGGAATATCATTTGGTCAATAACCCGTTCAATATTTTACGAGATTCGTTTCAGTATTTTACTCCTGGGTGTTACCTACGTAACGTGAAATGTGGTCAATAAAAATATTGCTGATTTTTTATATTGTAACTTCTAAGTAGGCAATATTTTTATGAGCGTTTTGACGTTTCCGGCAGAGTGATATGATTTTAATGTTAAAACATCACACATCCGAATTTCGTATAAACAGTGTATTTTACTAGAGTTTTAACTGTCGAACACGACGTGACGTGGCAAATTTGGCATTATGGGTAAACCAATCAAATATTGACGGGAAATGTACATGTGATTACAAAAGCCGACAATGCCACTTCAATATTCGTCATGTGACCTTACGGGTAAACACATCACGTGACAAGCCATGCCAGTGTTCTGGAATGACTGCTTTTGTAAAGCTAACAATTTTTTAGAGCAGTACTAAACAATTATTAATATTTGTTTGTGACAAGTTTGCTCGTAATTGTATATATGTATAGACTGGGCTGTGGTTTTGCGCAAAATAGTATTCACTTCATAAAATAATGAAATACAGATGCACTTTCTTATTTTGGAATTAAAAGTACGTGCCAGTAATGACATCTTCATTTACTATTTTACCGATCGAATACAATGTTTGTGAGTGACGAAAATAACGTTTTATTATCAGATAATAATACGACACGAGAATATTCCATGTTATCAATAAACTATTCTCCCCATAAAATGCACTTTGTTCTAATCGGATTTTTTTTTCGAACAAATACTGATAGACGATGTTTTTCTAAATGTAATTTGATTTGTTGAAAATACAGGACGTTCTATGGGGAGTTACATACGCCACTGGATACACCAAACAAATCGAGTCATGCCATACTTCGATGGAAGGATTCATCATAGATAATTTTGTAGAAAGGGTTTATAATGCTCCTCAAGTGATCTTGACTGACTGCGTGAAACAGATGCACAAGATAATTCAAGTGAATTCATATCGAGGTTATCAGAATTATTTAGAAAGGAAAAAAGTACAAACTTACAGTCTTGATTTTCACAAAGACCAAAATAATGGTAAGCCTCAAAATAAAAGCTTGAACACGTGTTCCTTGACACGATGTGGTGAAATTTGTGACAGCCAATTAAACTAGACTACGCAGTGATAGATGCGATACCCGGATGAACCTACACGAAAAAGCAATCAACCTCGCCACCCAGGCGATCAAAACACCTTGCATCATAAGGTTGTTTTCGTCATTATCGCCGCCACTGACCTTATCCAATTAAGATGGAGTGTTCGTTAAGTGCTGCCGTGCAGGCAAATCAATGTTCCGTGACATTCACTTCATTATCGCTTACAGGCGTGCCAATCATTAATGTCATCAAGCACCGGTCGATTAACTTCGGCTTGTTGAATCCCTGAATTATTGAAATGCATTTCATTAATATTAATGTTGTATATCGATGTCAATGTTATGCCAACAAGCCCAGTGTTAAACATACGACTCATTCGCTCCCTTGTTGTATTGAGTATATCGTATATGTTGAACATATACATTATAATTTTGGAAAATTATGACAGTTATGTTTTTGTTCAACAAAATTGACTGACAGGTACGGAACTTGTCGGTACGTCGTATCCTATATACAGTTTTGGATGTCGTATAGTTCGTGAGAAATCGTATTCAACAGAATCCTGAAATCGAATTTAGAACATCCTCCTGCGATACTGATCGAATATTAACACGAAACATACATGATCGTATTCTGCTATATCTCAGCTTTCTGGAAACATATACATTGCCATAGCTGCATGCTGAGTAACTGGCGAGGAAAGTCCTAATCGCAATGAAACTATTACTTGTGTTTTCCCTCTCGCTGCCTTAAAGTAATTAAAATGATATGATGATAATTATACTTGATTTGGTGATTAGACACCATGATCTGCTGTGCAGACTAGATTAAAAGCTCCAGTTTTTCAGGATTTGTTACCAAATCAACAGATTTTATAATTATTAGTGGTGATAATACAAAGTTAACGTGACATCACTGAATAAAACTACATACTGGGGTCATTCAAGTCCAAATACGGCGGACACGTACGTCCTCATTTGCATATAGATTAGTTTGTATTAAAAGTATACAATAACTGTATTAATTTCGTGACATCTACAGTGCAGTAGTGATTACAACCATACAGTGGTTCTGTTGGGTGTATATTTGGATTGTACCAACTAATATTGAGTTCATAATACGGTATTCAACT